ATGAGAATTTTAAAACCTAGTATGTTCTGGTACAATATTATTGAATGATTTTGATTATTCTGAAATATATGTGTGTGTGTCAAAAAATTAAGCAAACATCCTAGTCCTTTGCCTTAAACCATAATTTTAGGTACAGTCAATTTCAAGATTTTGTTATATCTGAAGGTTACTTGCTGAGCTTTGTCTTCTGAAAACTCACAAACAGACTGACAATATAGATATGTTTTGGAACTGAGAAGACCTACCAAGCCTATTAAAAAAATTGGATTTATAAAAATTACCAACAGAAGATCAAGACTTAATACATGGAAAAAGTACACTGAGGAGGATTTGTATAATATTTAATGACTTTTTAAATATATTGGTCTTTAATGTTTTGTTTTGTTTTTTTAATCTCTAAAAACTTGTCTTTAAACTGGGCTATGATCTTAGCAGTGGCAATTTGCTTCTTTTATGAGCAAACTGGAACATTTTCTTTGCTCTTTTCTCATCCCAAAAATGTGTAGGCAATATTTGAACTTCTCAGGACAATGTCTGTCTTTGATAATCTCAATAGGAAATTTTATTTATTTCTCCTTAAACTAGAAAATTAAAAACATGTTTTGTTACAGGCTTTGATTGAAATTCTTGTGGGAGTAAAATTGGGGTTGAGCTGAGAAGAGCGAGCCAAGAAGAGCCTGTCACCTTGCTTACCGGGTTCCACAGACCTCCAGGAAAGGTGAGGAAGCTGCCTCCATTGGCAGGACTGGAAAAACCCTGGAAAAGCCCTGGGAACCTTGAGAAGAGGAAATCTCAGGTGAAGTCTGGTAAGACTGTGACTGATGAAGCCTGCATGGACTGGGTGTTAAAAAGTTCACTCCAGGCTCGAGTTTTCAACAAAGCCAACAACATTCTGCTTGGTTATTCTGCCCTGTGAGTTTATGCAAATATAGGTAAAATATTTAAAATTAATTTGGTTTACTACTTTAAAGAATTGGAATGAGGGTAGAGAAAATTTATGTCTCAGTAACTATTTATATTAGTCTTGGTCCTCTTCAGTGAGGGCTGTATCCTCAATGTCATCATCTTGAGGAAGGGAAAAGCCATCCCTGTTACATTTAGGACTATGCTATGTTGTACACCTTATTGCTGCCACACCGCCACCCATGCCTTAATATCATGTCGGGAACTGTGGCACCTTCCATAGTAAACCCCCCACCACGACGACCCCATTCAGCAGGAAGCAGCCCGAAGATGCGACTCCCCTTTCTCCCATAGAAATGGAAGGTCATAACAGACAGGGGGGATTATGAGGGAGTTAACAATTTTGTCTTTCCTGTATCTCTTGCAATTCCCCCTTGTTTGATACAAGTGCTGCCCTGTGAGAAACCCACAAGGGTATCGAAGGGGGGAATGATGACCAAGGAGAAGGGAGGTAAACAGCAGAGCCAGCTGGCGCCCACCAGTCTCTGTGCCGACCCTTTCCCTCTCCCCTTTGCAGACCCTTGCCCATCAACCCCTCCTTTTTCCTTTGTAAAAGTCTCAAGTTCCACCCCCTTGGGTGCATCACTCCAAAGTGAAATGGGCCTACAAACCAGAAAAAGGACACTTCAGCCAGCGGATGGACAGCAGCCCCTGACCCAGAGAATCCCCTTTGCTTGAAGCTACAACAGGATCAACACACCAAGGAGGCCTTAGTCATCAAGCCCTGCTGGTTCCACACTGGGAAAGCTAGTCAGTTTACTCATGGCAGAAGCTTGAGGACCATCTGCATGTGTGACCTCTTGTTTGTTGTTTTTACTGTTCCTGTAGTGACTGTCTTTGCATTTGGCCTAGCCATGGTGGCTGGGCCCTGATTGCTGGGATTGGGAGGCACACCTTCTTGCCTTAGGCTACCTGATACTGTGTGTGGACATAATTGTTTTCAAATGTTTGCTAAAATGAGCCTGCTGGCCAGTATCCTCCTACACCTGCTCCTTACCCTCTCTTCTGTATTTGAGGTCTTATCTCCCAAACCCCGAGTAACTGCAATGAAGCCAGGGTTTGTACCCAGCCTGACAGAAGGGCCAGAAAGAACAAGGGAGGGCTCTGGTCTCCCTCCACCCTGGGCTGCTTCTGGTTGCTCCCCGCAGATGCCTGTGTCCCAGCTATGAGACATAATCAGTGTGCACACATGGCTCTCAACTGCTCTAACACGGCTCTTGCTTCAATTTGCAGGATTTGCATAAAACCAGGTCCTGTCCAGTATGAAGGAGTCATACTCGACCCAGGTTTGTTCCCTCCAAAGGTATCACCTAACTCCTCCTCAAATCTTGTCCTGGGTCCTGTGTCTCTGTGGGAAATGCTACAAACCCTTTGCTCCGTGCCACAGATGGCCCTTACCCGGCCTGTGCTCAGGGAGTGTAACGATGTGTTACTCCACACAAACAACTGTGCTTTGTTGTAAATTTGATGCCTAACTTGTCTCTTTTAACTAAAAGACATATACTCTCAATGTTAAAATCCCCTCACTGGATGAAGAGAGTCCTCCAGACCATCCACTAGTAGTGGGCCTGCTGACTACATCCGGAGCAGCTGAGGTAAGAGAGCCTGAAATCCAACATAAAGGGCCGGGTGGCCGACTTAAGTCAAATTTGAATGCTCTCATTAGATCACCCCTAGCCCTCCAGGCCAACTTGACTCCCTGGCAGTGGTAGTGTTCCAGGATGGGCATAGACTAGACCTGCTCACTGCTGCCCAGGGAGGTATCTTTCTGCATTTACACGCACAATGTTGCTTATATGCAAACAAGTTTGGGATAGTTCAGAAACACACACCCAGCTCCTAGACCAAATTGATGGCAGGGAAGAGGCCCTGCAGCAGCCCACCAAGTAAGATTCCTCCTCCCTGGGATTCCTGTGACTCTCAACTCATAACAGCCACTGGCTAATAATCAGGGTTTCCTTAACAAAGCTATATAGGTGATGCCCTGTGGGAAAAAAAAAGATAACTCACAAGGGCATCAAAGCGGGGAATGATTAGAAAGTATATTATAGAGCAAATGAATATAATAAAGATTCCAGCAGAACTCCCAGCCCAGGTGCAATGAACACTCCAACGCAGACGTAATCAACAGGTTTGCTTACTTACAGCTCTTTCCCTTTCAAGATTCATGACCAGGGCCTCAGCACTCTTATCCACAAAGTTGGGCAAGCAGCCAGCTTGTCTATCTCTCCAAGGCCATCCCCGAATGCCTGCATCTTTCCCCCCTTGCCTTGCCCCCTTTGTCTGGGGACTTTGCCGCACATGTTTGTGCCTGCTGAAAAAACGCTGTTATCCATGTAACAGATATGGACACAGTTGTGTATGAAAGGAACCCTTGGTCTTTAAACAGTGCTCAGAACTCACGGGGCCACCCAGGTCTGGGACCTCATGCATGAATCATAAAGCTTCTCCTGACCTCACCATTCCTGAAGTTCTGCATATTCTTCCCCTACCTGGGTAAAAGGCTAGAATTTATTTCTGTTAGGGGGAAAAGGCGGTCCCAAAGCAAATTCCATACAGGCTTTGTGGACTCCACCCCCACCCCAGGTCAAAGCCAAAGACACTGGGAACTCCAAATCCCATCACCACCAAAGGGAAGGTGGCTGGGACCTGAGGGTGGGGTTAAGCAGCCAGGTGGATACAAAAGGCAGACACGTGGGCTTTGGGGTCTCTCTCCATTTTTGGGCTCTTGGCCAGCAGCAGCGTCCGGTCAGCTCTGAGAGTGACTTTGGGGTTTCCAGGTCGTCGGATCGGGTAGGACGCATTAAAGACTTTATTTCCCTATTTTCTCCCTGAGTTGTACATTTTCCTTATTTCCTTTCCTCTTGTAAATAAACCTTTTATTAACCCTTTTGTGTGTGTCTGTAGTAGAGTATTCATAAGTCCCTTTAAAGCGCGCGGGTGAGGACCCACAGCCAGGAACCCATTTAATATCGGGGTTGCTCTATAACATTTCTACAACATCAAGAGCCAAAGAAGGAGGGAATTTTCAGACCAGGAGGGAGTAAAAAACATTATCATCTGTTGTTAACAATGAGAAACAGCAAAGTATTGACTGAAATGAGGCCTTGAGTTTGGTGATAATGGGTGATTGTCAACCTCCCACAGGCAGGGCCAGCACCTGAGCTCAGAGGAGAAGGGCTGCACAGGAGGGAGCAGGAGGGAGGAAGCAGGGATGTGGACAGAGACCACCCAGTCCAGTATGAAGAGCTGTGGGGTCCTGGCCAGGGAGGGTCAGGAATCAGGGAGCACCTCCTCAAGCCTGAGAGAAAGAAACTGGAGATAAAGTAAACCTGGTTTCTGTTCTGGAAGCTTCAGGGAGATCAAACCACAGACTTGGCTTCAGAGGAACAACGACTGTGAAACTGCCCGGCTTAGGGGTCACTGGGGGCCCAGGGTATTCACAGGGTATGTTATTTCCACTCAAGGCTTAAAGAGCTTGACACCCATTTACAACACATTCTCAGTGAGAATTTTAGTATTATCTTCTGCTTAGGCCCAAGGAGGCAAATAGTCCCCAAAAGGTGATAAAAATCGTAACACTTAGAGAGGGTCATTTCAAATGAAACCTGGGAAGCAGGAAGCTCACAGCTGACTGTTCCACCTCTTTACACACATATACATGTGGTTTAGGGCTGTTACTTGAAATGGTCTTTATTTTCATGTTCTCAAAAAACTAAGGAAAGTTGATGATCACTGTGAAAATTCAGGCTATAAGGTTTCTGATTTGTATGTTTTCTGTTAATAACTTTTGATGTAATGTTATAGTAATATTCATATACAGGAATTGATGTGCTCTGGATGACTTCATAAAGGTAAATTATAGAAAAATCATTGTTTCCTTGTCTTTCATTTTAACCCTGGAAGTTTGTTTTGCTAGACGAAATGATCATCTTCTGCTCTAATAAAATTATGCTTCAGAAATTGCCTGTACATATAAGATTTCTTTTTTAAAAAAGATTTATTTATTTATGCATACAAGAACTAGGGTACAGGCCTGAAGTGCAGTGGGGAGAGAGGATTCACCAGAGACAGAGTGGGGAGCAGAACAGGCAGATTGACTGAAATACACTGCAGAGGGGAGCAGCATCAAGATAGGAGAGGTCTGCTGAGCCATGTGGATATCTCCCTTGCAGGCTGGAGCTTGAACTCCTGCTGCAGAGGCTGCTGATAGCTTTATAGTGCTGTGCTTAACCACTTGTGCCACCAGGGAGGCCCGTGTACATATAAGATTTCTGTCTGGGGTGGAGAAGATTACTCTTGAGAACACCTGGTCCCCTTTTCACTTCCTGTCACAACCTGTGTTGTGTCCCCCAGCCTGGATATGAGTGACTCACCCCCAGTTCTCACTCCCCATTGCCTGGAGGGTTTCCAGAGCAGCCAATCAGCATCAGCACCTCTCACTACACAGCCTACAGGCAGATTCTCACTAGCAAAGTCGTGAAGCTTTGCAGGTCATGAAGCTTCCCACTCTTCTGCTGCTGCTCTTGGGGGCCCTGGCCCAGACCAAGACTTGGGCAGGTGAGTGAGGAGTCGGGAGGGAAACCCTCACTGCGGAAGGAGAAGAAGGGGACCCTGGACCAGCGCGATCCGCTGCAGTTGGCCCGATTGCCCTCCTTACGCCCCCTCCCTGTCCTGGCCCCTTTCTGCCCCTCCCAGCCTCCTGCCTGCTCTTGACTCCCAGAGTCTCAGCCCTTCCCGTCCCACTGCCCTTGACCTATCTCAAGACCCTCCTCGTCCTCCTCTCTTCCCGCCCCATCTCCCTGGGACCTGGGACCTGGGACCCGCGCAGGGAGGAGGGTCAGCCCGGGTCTCCCCTCCCCGCCCCAGGATCTCACTCCCTGAGAATTTTCGAAACCGCGATGTCCCGGCCGGGCTTCGGGGAGCCCCGATACATCTCCGTGGGCTACGTGGACGACACGCAGTTCGGGCGGTTCGACAGTGACTCTCCGCGTCGGAAGGCCGAGCCACGGGCGTCCTGGATGGAGCAGGTGGAGCAGGAGGCTCTGGACGAGGAGACGCTGAACCAGAGGCGCAGCATAGGCAAACACCGAGAGAACCTGCGCAACCTGCGCGGCTACTACAACCAGAGCGAGGACCGTGAGCGCCGCGGGCCCTCCAGGGTCGCCCCGAGTCATCATCGGGTCCCATCGACATCCCAAGGCTGTGGGGCCCCCCTGGACCCTCAACCCGCCAAGAGCCCGCGGGCCTTTCTTCCGCGCGGTTCCGTTTGTAGTTTAGGTTTATTCAGGGCGGGAGGTCGGGGCGACTGACGCGGGGCGGGGACAGGGTCTCACACTTTCCAGAGGATGTTTGGCTGCAAATTGGGGCCCGACGGGCGCCTCCTCCGCGGGTACAGTCAGTGGGCCTACGACGGTGAGGATTACATCGCCCTGAACGGGGACCTGCGCTCCTGGACCACGGTGGACACGGCAGCTCGGCTCACTCTGCGCAAGTGGGAGGCGGAACGCAAGGCCCAGCGCCTCAGGAACTTCGTGGAGGGCAAGTGCCAGAAGTGGCTCCGCAGGTTCCTGGAGCTAGGGAAGGAGGAGCTGCAGCGCACAGGTGAGCTACATGGAGGACGCCTGACCACCCTCTGACTGGCGCCCCACAGAGAAAATGGGACAGTGTCCACTTTCTGGCCTCAAGATGGGAGTCAGCCTGGATTGCCTGTCCTGTGCAGAGAGAGGTTGTCCCACAGGCCCCTTGGTTAACTGAAGGGCAGTTCAATCCAGTCTCTCCTGACATGGAGGGAGACCATCCCTGGTATGACCCTTCACGGGGTCCATTTGACTCAGCAGCCATCTTGGGAACCATCATTTTCTCTGTCAAGGTTTTGTTTTTGGTCTGACATCATTTTTGGACGTCTGATTCCTCGTTTACCAGATCAAGAGCAAGAGTCTGTGTTCTCCTCCTTAGAGACCAGCATCTTCCTACTCTATGCTTTCACCCTGATTCTAAAGAGTAGAAACCTCTACAAACTTTCTAAAGAGTAAAAAGTTATCCCATATTTCCCAGATCAGACTGGTTTTGGAGTTTTCTGTGTCCTCTTTCCAAGATTTTCTGTCCATTCTGAGGATGGTCACTGAGGCTACTTCAGTGTCTGTGGAAGAAACCCCAAGCCTATTTATCTGACCCTTCTCCTCAGATCCCCCAAAGACACACGTGACCCACCACCCCACCTCTGACCAGAAGGTCACCCTGAGGTGCTGGGCCCTGGGCTTCTACCCTGCGGACATCACTCTGACCTGGCAGCGAGGTGGGGAGGACCTGACCCAGGAGATGGAGCTGGTGGACACCAGGTCTGGGGGAAATGGAAACTTCCAGAAGTGGGCGGCTGTGGAGGTGCCTTCTGGAGAAGAGCAGAGATACACGTGCCACGTGCAGCATGAGGGGCTGCAGGAGCCCCACGTCGTGAGATGGGGTAAGGAGCACAGAGGCTCTACTCAGGGCCATCAGAGCCCTTCTGGAGACCTTCAGAGGGTCAGGATGGAGGCCTGAGGCTCAGGGTCTCACCTTTCCTTCCCTTCCAGTGCCCCCTCCTCAGTCCTCCATCCCCACTGCGGGCATCATCGCTGGCCTGGTTCTCCTTGGAGCGGTGCTCACTGGAGCTGCAGTGGCTGTAGCTGTGATGTGGAGGAAGAAGCGCTCAGGTAGGGAAGGGAGTGGGGGGACTTGTCCACTGGGGTTTTTCAGGCCGCAGGTAGAACTTGACCTGCCTGGTAATGGGAAGTACCACCCACACACTTGTGTCCCCCAAATTGGAGCTGATCTCTAACCTCTTTTGTAAAGCACTTACGAAAGTGAATCACAGATTGTTCACCTTGATAATTCTGGTGATGGGCCCTGACTCCCAGCAAATGGCAGAGGGGAAGGTCCCTGCTGAGGACAGACCCCAGGAAGCAGTTGGGGTCTGCTTCAGACCACCACCACCCATCTTCTTTTGTCATATTTCCTGGTCCTGCCATGGATTTTCAGTCACAGTTTTGAAAACTTCCCTGTGGTCCAGGATTAGGCGTTTCCTTTAGGAGTTCATGGCTCCACTCTTCCTGGTCTCACACGATGCTTCCTTCCACAAGAGGACAAGGAGGAAGCTACACTTAGGTTGCAGGTAAGTGTGGATCAGATGTTTGGTCCCTGAGCCCCTGGGGACAGTGTAGAAGGAGCCCATGGGGGAGTCATCCACATTAGTCCTTCCTGTGATCTCATTTGTCCTGCTTCTGACCAGGTTCTGTTTTGTTCTCCCCCAGGCAATTGCAGTACCCTGGACTCTGATGTGCCTCTCAGCCCCTCCCTAAAGGTGAGACCCTGGAGGCCTGCGGTGGGAGGGGCTGGGCAGAGAGGATCAACCAGGTTATAGGGAAGTTGTGAGGGGGACATTCTGACATTGCTGTGGACCATTGAGAATGTCCACACTTATGTAATTCCATGAGTTTGATCATGATATTTTCTTTCACAATGTGCTGGGGACTAAGGAATACTGATTTTTCTTATCCACACGTCATGACTTCAAGATCCCCTGAAAAGGGCATTGCATGTATCTGTGATCTCACTGGCATAACATGAGGAAGTGGGGAGACTGGCCCAGCCCTGCCCATCAGGCCCCTCCTCACACTGACCCTGCTGACTTTTCTGCTCCAGCAAAGGCGGGGCTGATTCCACCCCTGCCTGTACTTTGTGTTGTCCTGAAGAATAGTGTCTACTTCCCTGTTGAAAATAACAATGCAGATATGAAATTATTTTTCTAATCTTGTGAATTGGAGTTCATGGATTAATAAACTAGTGTCCTAAAATTTGAGAAAGGAACTAAATGGAAGACAAAGTACTTACTCAAGTCTATTTTTGGCTTCCTTTAGGGCTATTTCCTGGATTATTTTTTCCATGTTTTCAGTTATTTTTTTTTTTCTTTTAAAGCAAATCAAGTTCTGGTATTAGTAGAGAGAAGGATCACATAATTTCTCCTCTTAAATAAGTTCTTGTTGGATCTCTACTTTCCAAGCTGCCCCCAAACCGTGCCCTTAAGTGTAGTTATCCCAGACTGGCTCAGTTCCAAATTCATGGGTTTTTAAATAAGAGTCAAAGTGACACTTATGGTTGAAAAGTCAGACCCATACAGCTATGATTATCCCTTCTGAAGAATGATGCTTGTGGCCTGTGGTGGGTGTAGGAGGAAGCGGGGAGGAAGAGGGAAGAGCAGTGCTTGTGAGAGAAGCAGAGGCAGCATTAATGTCATTGAGTAGAGGTTGTGCTCAGCAAGTGAGGCCACATTACTGGGCCACATGCTAAAGATACTGTTTCTAGAATAAGGAAGTGCTCTACACTGATCGTTCATTCAACTAATAATTGTTGCACCAGATATGTGGCAGGCTGTTTTTCACCTAGGCAACCTTAATGCACTGAAAACATCCCCAGCTTGCTGGCCTGTGGATGTGTGACCTAGTGGGAAGGGGAGACAGGAGACTGTGTGATAGTAAATAAGGGACCTGCTTGGTTAGAAGTGGGTAAGGGTTGTGGGAAGGTGACCCAGAGTCAATGTATGGGGACAGGGAGGATGGCTGTCTTCCTAGTGTGGTCAGTGTGGGCCTCACTTAGGGGATTGTTGAGAAAAAAGTTGGAGGGACAGCTTGCCCACAAGGATGTCCAGGGAAGCAGTGTCCAGGCAGGACAACCTCCAGTGCAGATGCCTGAGGCAGGAATGTGTCTGAGTGACTGAGATGAGCAAGGAGGCCAGCTGGCTGGAGCAGAGGGTAATAGCAATGACACCAGCAGGCCTCAAGCATGTTCAAAGGGTTTTGACTTTTCTCTATGTAAGTTGTGGGGTTACACGACCTTTCTGGACAGATATTGACTTGTGAGAGTTCTCTTTAGAAGCCTCAGTCTGACCTTCATGAAGAAGCAAGAGCTGAAGAGTGAGAGGTGGGAAGAAAAGTGTAGGAAACCTGTGCAGATTCCAGGACAGAGACGTTGGTGGCCTTGTTGGGCTGTGAGCAGGAAAATAATATGAAGTGATTGGATGTGGATATATTTAGAGATGGATTTGACAGCATTTCCTAATGGAACATCTGGACTGTGAGAAAGAGGGTCAAGATTGGCACTCAGTATTCCAGACTATGAAGTGAGATATGGAGGGTCTGCAGTGACATGAGGAAGGTTCTAGAAGTAGTACCTTTGAGGAATGGCATCCTAGGCATTCAATTTAGGAGCATGGAAACTGAGATCTACCAGCACGTCAGAGATGGTGGCAGTTGGACAGACAAGCCTCTAGCACAGGTGGAATGTCTGAGCTGAGAATAGCTCTGGGAGATGGGATAGTATAAACGATACCTAAACTCTTGACCATGAATGAGGTCACCCAGGGAGCAATTCTTTCGATTTTCTTTCTTTGCAGGAGAGAAAGGAGCAGGATGGGACCTCAGAAAGCCCAGTGTTCAGCAGAGTAAATTGCACAGACAACACCACATGCAGAGGCACAGAGACCAGAGACCCCCACTTCAGCGAGCACAGGAGTCACTTGGACACTCATGAAGACTTAGCGGGTCTAGAGTAGATCCTGAGATTCTATTATGAGACCCCTCTCCTCATCTTTGGGGAGAATTTAGGGTTGATTCCTATCAGGGGGCACTTTATCCCTGGAAACAGAAGCGGAAGAAGTAACAGGGAACCTGGAGTCCCAAGCGGAGCTGTAGCTGTTCTCTGTGTGCTGTTGTCACCGCTGCTTGATAATGCAGATCTTTGTGAAGACCCTGATGGGCAAGACTGTCACCCTTGAGGTGGAGCTCAGAGACACCATTGAGAGTGTCAAGGCCAAGATCCAGGTAAGGATCTCGGAGGCCTGCCCCCTGACCAGTAGAGGCTGATCTGTGCTGGGAAGCAGCTGGAAGATGGGCGCACAGTGTCTGACTACAACATCCAGAAGGAGTCCACTCTTCATTTTGTCCTGCACTTGAAGGGAGCTTTCTTAAATATACCTCCCTTTTAAGCTTTCAAAGATTTCATTGCACCTCCTCCCACCTCCTCCTCTGGGGTGGGATGCAGACCTTGAAGACACTGATGGGTAAGACCATCACCCTTGAGGTGGAACCCAGTGACACGATCAAGAACATCAAGGCCAAGATTCAGGACAAGAAGGCGCTCTCTCTGAGCAGCAGGGATTGATCTTTTCTGGGACACAACTGAAGATTGGGTGCACCTCATCTTAGTACAATATCCAGGAGTCCACTCTTCATTTTGTCCTGCACTTGAAGGGAACTTTCTTAAATATACCTCCCTTTTAAGCTTTCAAAGATTTCATTGCACTTTTCTTTCAATAAAGTTGTTGCATCCAAAAAAAAAAAAAAAAAAAAGGACTCCAGAGACTGAGGGACCCTCTTTATTTGGGGTATCTGCACAGAATCTGCAAACCAGTTCTTTTTATTTCTTTATTTTTTTACATAATTTTCACTTTTGTACAATGTATGCATTTTCATCTCGGTTATAGTCCCTGCAAAATTCCCGTGAACTGTCACCATGGTCCCTTGTGCTCTTCCCACCCTTGTTTTGATCCTACTCCCTTCTCCCCCCCAGCAGAATGTCTCTGGTTTACAGTTGCTGTTGATTTTGAATTTTACTTTGTTATTTTTACTTTTTTTTTTTTCCCTGATCCCTAGTTTGGATCCTCTACATTCCGCCTATTAAGTACCAGTTGTTATGACTTGGAAACTAAGTTCTTTCCTGAGTCCATAGGACACCCTAGGGAGATAATTTGAGTATCTGTCACTTGTCACTAGACCTGGTGCCCCTATTCACAGATCCCTGTCCTGCTGTTGGGAGCCCCGGGGCCCTGGGGAGGGCCTGGCTGAGCAGGAGAAAGGGCAGCTCTGGTCGCCTGTGCTCAGCCCTGTGGCCACACGGGGGCGCTGCCGCGCTGCTCCGGATTCTGGTGGAGCCGCCAGGACGGGGCGGGGGCTGAGGTGGGCAGAGTTGGGGGGCCTGGAGGGCGGCGTCCACCTGGAGGGTGAGGTGCTCTGTGAGGAGTCGGAGAAGCAGGGCTCAGAGGAGAGGAGACTCCGGAGCCTGGGCTGTGTGTGAGGCTTCCAACTTTTCTCCCCAGTACTCCTCTCTCCAGTCTTTTATAGCAATACCTGGGAAAACTGGAAAGTAGACCTTTTTTCCCTTCTGCAATCTATTACTTTACTGAGAGTTATTTTTTGAAGTTACATTAAAAATACTATTTGCAGATAATTTGCAACGGTATTACAGCATTCCTTTACATCCCACACTGTTTTCCCACATAGTTAACATCTTACGTGGCTGCACTGCATCTGTGAAGCCAATGAAGCCATACTGACTCATGTTTACTAAACTCCATGCTTTATCTGGAGTTCATTACTGTTACTTTTTATTCCCAGGATCTCATCCAGGATCTCAGTAAGTTCCAGCCATGTCTCCTTTAGGCACCTCTGGGTCAGGCAGTTTCTTGGACTTTTAATTTTTTGGTAACTGACATTGGGGAGACCACTCAGGAATAATGTCACTGAATTTGAGTTTTTTCACTGGGGCTATGATTTTGAGAAAGAAGGCGACAGAGGTGAAGTACTCTTCTCCATTCAACATACCACATGCTATGCACTTTTTCTTCCATTTCTTTTTTTTTTTTTTTTTTCCATGTCTTTGGAAGGAAGTCACTATGGGCAGCTCACACATAATGGGTGTTCTGCTATAAACATTTAGATGCATGTATGGTTTTTGTGTAAATACAAGTTTTCAGATTAGTAGGGCAAATAGCTGGGGCAGTGCTTGAAAGGGAACTGCTAAGAAAAGGAAATCTTTCCCTGTTAAAGAGTCACAGACCTGGAAATGTAAAGAAAAGTAAGTTTGCTTCCATAATAAGCGTATCTAAACAAGGTCTGGCAGCCTGCTAGGCTGATTGATCTCCCAGGCCATCCTCCAAGATCTGTATCCTTCCCCTTTTCCTGTGTCAAGAATTTGTATGCTAACTAACCAACTTTATTAATGTAAAGTAGTTGTGTATAAAACATACTCTTTGTCTCTAGACCAGTGCTCAGGCCTTATGAGACTACCCAGGTCTGAGACCTCATGTATGAGTAATAAAGCTTTCCTGACCTCACCATTCCTAAAGTACTGCTTGTTCTTCCCCTGCCTGGGTAAAAGGCTAGAATTTATTTCTGCAACATGCTCACTGGACTGTCTGGTGGGTGTGCGTTTGGCTTTAAAAGAAGCTTTCAAACCTCTTCCCTAGTGACAGTGCCACTTTGAATCTTGCAGCAAGGAATGAGGGTTCCTGTAGCTCCTGGTCAAGACTTGTTTCTGTGAGGTTTTTTGATATTTGCCTTCTAATTAGTGTGTGATGACATATTGTTGTTTGTATTTGTCTTTCCTTAAACTCTTGACTCCTGTCACCTAGACGTGGGCTCCTCCTTGGGCCTGGAGATGTGAAGCCCAGTCCCTCCCTCACATTCCTTCACCCCTTGTACATCCCAGCACTCCCCCATCCAGGGAGTGAGTTGTTTGGGGTGCTGATCCTGTTATGGGGCAACCCCTATATAAAACGGGTTGCCTGGCTGTGGGTCCTCACCCACGCGCTTAAAAGGGACTTATTAATACTCCACTGCGGGCACACACAAAAGGTTAATAAAAGGTTTATTTACAAGAGAAAGGGAATTAAGGAAAATGTACAACTCAGGGCAAAAATAGGGAAATAGAGTCTTTAATGCGTCCTACCCGATCAGCCAACCTGGAAACCCAAAGGCACTCTCAGAGCTGGCCAAACAAACGCTGCGAGCTGGCGGAGAGCCAAAATGGGGGATCCCCTCCAAAGCCCACATGTCTGGCTTTATACCAACCTGGCTGCTTAACCCCACCCTCAGGTCCCAGCCACCTTCCCTTTGGTGGTGATGGGATTTGGAGTTCCCAGTGTCTTTGGCTTTGGCCTGGGGTGGGGGTGGAGTCCACAAAGCCTGTATGGAATTAGCTTTAGGACATCCTTTTCCCCTAATAACCCCAGTGACTCCCTTGAGAGCCTTCTGCAATAAACTCTTCTGTGCAAAGACATTACTCGTGGCTTAGAGTTGGGCTTTGTCCACTCCAGGGAAAGGCCTGGTTGTGTCCTTTACAACGTGGTGACTTTGCCCCAGATCCAGGGACTCTGGGATTTGCTGACCACGTCAGATCCCTGACCCCTCACACTGGGTGCAGGAGAGGGTGAGCAGAAGTATGGCTGGGGTGGACCCCTCAGGCCCCCTCCTCTCCCCACTCCCCCCCACTCCCTGTCCCTTCTGAAAGGTTCCCCGCAGTAAAGAAAAGGAGAGCCAGGCTAAATTTCTCAAAGGAAGGGAAAATTTATTGTGCCCCAGGCGGCCTCACGGACCCAACGTGGGGGTCAGTGAAGCCTTGCACATTGTCAGGGGGAGGCAGGCTTTTATAGGGTGAGGAGAGGTCAGGTGGGAACCTGGGTTTGTATGGCAGGAAAAAGTTTGTAGGGTGGGAAAAGATTTGTAGGGTGGTGGGGGGAAGTTTCTTTGAGAAAAGATTTGTAGGGCAGGAGGAGGTTCATTGTCTGAATTCTCCAGGCAGGCTTCCGCATTCCTATTCCCAGGTGGGCTGCCTGGTGGGTTTTTGCATTCTGGTCTCCTGCATGGACGTTTCACCTTCATCTCCCCCAGAGTCTGGATATCATGAAGTCCCAGCTCAACTGGGAGCAGGACAGGAGACTTACCCCTGATCCCACAGCTCCTCACCAGGAGATGCTTCCTGAAATCTGTCCCCCACCCCCATCTCCCCCTGCTGCAGCCTCGGGGCTTCTCCAGCAGAGCCAGGGATGTGCAAAGGGTTATTCTAGAACAGTCTTCCTCCCAGTGACACTGGACTCACTGCTGTAAATCCCAGCATTCCCCTCTCAGGTCTGAGCTCTAATGTCACCTACAGGAAAGTCTTCCCTGTAGATAGCATTTTATACCACACCTGGCTCCCTCATCTCCCCTACCTTGTTTGTTCTCTAAATAACTCTTTACTCTTTGACCCTGATCACTGCAGTTGCTTTGTTGTTTATTGTCAGGTGTTCAATCAGTATGTAAACTCTGGGAGGGGAGGGATTTTACTTCCTTTGTTGAAATATCCCAAATTGCCTAGACAGTGCCTGGCACACAGCAGGTGTGGAATAAGTATGCCAATGAGTGAGTGTCTGGAGCAGAACTCCTTAAAGCTGAGTCTGGCTGGGGCAGGAAGTGAGGCAGTTCTCTGGTAAGGGATGGGGCTGGGGGTACCTTGGCGCTTGGAGGGGAGGGAGCAACTCATTAGCTCACTCCAGATGAGGAGCCAAACAGAAAACCCCCAGCAGCCCCTCAGCAAGGGGCACGCAGCCAAAAGTGCTTGGGGTCAGAGCACCTGCTGCCTCTGCAGATCTGCACTGGAGGGCCCAGGCCAAGTGGTGGGATTGCAGGCACTGAAGTCCTTCTGGCTCCAGACTTATGTCCAGAATCCATTGATTCTGCCCAAGTAAAGGTATGACTCAGCCATAGTATATGGGTCCTGTGACCCTTGACCCCTATGGACAAGCTCCTGAGACTGTCCAGGAGGCTGAGAGCTGTGAGTTGAGATGGAGTCAGACCTGGCTGTGAGGTCCCAGCACAGGGAGGGGGCTCTGGAATCTGGGGTGAAGGCACAGGGCTGCCCCCTCCAGGTGGCACAGGACTTGTGCTCCCCCTCTCTGGGCAGTTTGACTCCCCCTCTCTGGGCAACTTGATTCAGCATTAGGGGGGCTTGCTCTGGAAGAGGGGAATTCCCTAAATTAACCCCTCTTTGCCCTTTTTTCCATGTGTATTTGAATTACACCACAGCTCTAAGTATGCAGAAACCCTTAAACCTAAGTATAGAGCTAAACCCTGTGCAATTGTCACTCAAGGTAAAGTAGAGGCTCTCCCAACCCCAGCCAGAAGCCCCTGGGCCTCTCCCCACACAGACCATCCCTCCCACCCAGGCGTCCACCTAGCTGACACTTCCCTGCCCCACCCCTCTGGTCCCTCCATTTTCACTTCTGTTGGCCTCTGTCCAGTACATCCCTACATCCTCCCTCTCCTCACTTCTCCAGAAGCCTCCCCTCTCCTTGCCCATGATCCTGGAGCAGGAGAAGATCCTGACCCTCTTCCCTCCAATCCTAGGGCTGGGAAGCCAAAGACTGTTACAGGTGGAGCCCCCTAGAAGGAGGTGCTGGTAAGGATGGATAGCCCCAGTATGGGTTGGGGTGGAGACTGATAAGAAATATAAGGAGTTGAGATGTATGTCTTATAGTGTTTTACCTATATTTTCTCCTATATATTTTATGGCTTCAAGTCTTATGTCCAGATCTTGTATCTGTTTTGAATTGATTTTTGTCACGGTGAGAGGTAGAAGTCTGGATTAATTCTCTTGCTTATGTTGGCCCAGTTTTCTAGCACCATTTATTGAGCAAACTGTCCTTGTTCCATTGCATAGTCTTTGCTCCTTTGTCAAAGATGAGTTGTCCATATATCTGTGGCTTTATTTCTGGAGACTCATCACCCAAAGCAAAGAAAGTGAAGGAAAAGATGAACACCTGGATTACATCAAACTGAGAAGCTTCTGCACAGCAAAAGAGACATTAACCAAAACAAAGAGACACCCCACTGATTGGGAAAATATCTTGGCACTCCATACAACTGATAAGGGACTGATCACAAAGATCTCCAAAGAACTCACACAACTTAACAAGAACAAAGTAAACAATCTAGTCAAAAAATGGGCAGAAGAACTTAAAAGACAGTTCTCCAAAAAGGAAATGCAAATGGCCAACAGGCATATGAAAAATTGTTCAACATCCCTTATCATCAGGGAAATGCAAATCAAAGCCACAATGAGATACCACCTTACACCATTGAGAATAGCACATATTAAAAGAAAAAACTAGCAACAGAAAATGTTGGTGAGGATGTTGTGAAAAAGGAACTCTCCTGCACTGCTGGTGGAAGTGCAAACTGGTCCAACTCCTGTGGAAAGCTGTCTGGAGGTTCCTCAGTCTACTAAAAATGGAGCTACCATACAACCCAGCAATTCCACTCCTAAGGATGTACCCAAAGGATGCAAAAACTTTCATTCAAAAGAACACCTGCGGAGGGGGCCGGGCGCCATTGCTGGCTGGCCGAGAGCGCGCCGTCCCGGGCGCCCCGCCGCTGCTCTCCGCCGGCGGGAGGGGCCGCCGCCTGCCCCGGCCGGGCTCCGTGAGTCGGTCTCTGGTCGCCTCGCCCGCCGCCGCCGCCGCCGGGCCGGGCCGCCCTGGCCGAGACCATGTTTGACAAGACGCGGCTGCCGTTCGTGGCCCTCGATATGCTCTGCGTGTTGCTGGATAATTATTGGAGAAACCTTGTCTGTTTACTTCAACCTCTTGCACTCGAATTCCTTTATCAGAAATAACTACATAGCCACTATTTACAAAGGCATTGGAACATTTTTATTTGGTGCAGCTGCTAGTCAGTCCCTGACTGACATTGCCAAGTATTCAATAGGCAGACTGCGGCCTCACTTCTTGGCTATTTGTGACCCAGATTGGTCAAAAATCAACTGCACTGCTGGTTACATTGAAAACTTCATTTGTCAAGGGAATGCACAAAAAGTTAAGGAGGCCAGATTGTCCTTTTACTCAGGCCACTCCTCGTTCTCCATGTACTGCATGCTGTTCGTGGCATTTTATCTCCAAGCCAGGATGAAGGCAGACTGGGCAAGACTCCTGCGCCCCACACTGCAATTTGGCCTTGTTGCTTCATCCATTTATGTGGGACTTTCTCGAGTTTCTGATTACAAACACCATTGGAGTGATGTGTTGACTGGGCTCATCCAAGGAGCTCTGGTTGCAGTATTAGTTGTTGTATATGTATCAGATTTCTTCAAGGACAGAAATTCTTTTAAAGAAAGGAAAGAGGAAGATTCTCATACAACTCTGCATGAAACACCCACAACAGGAAATCACTATGGAAACAGACACCAACCTTGAAGGTGGCAAGAGTGCCGAGATGAAGCTGGCTTGCTAAGAGAAAATGATTGCCACCAGAAGACAAGAAGGATGTGTTTTCTTCCCAGTGTACAAGCCTTAAGGAACTGCTGCTGCTATACCTCTTGGATGCCCACTTTACCTGTGTGTATATAGTTACATTTAACACAACAGTTATCTAATAGCTCTAACTTCATTTAAAGAAAATCAAGCCTTTCACAAAGTGTCCCACCTATACATTTTTTATTAAAAAATGTAATGCTCATGTAAAAAAAAAAAAAAAGAACACCTGCAACCCTAAGTTTATTGCACCACTTGTTACAACAGGTAAGCTATGGAAACAACCCAAATGCCCAAAAATAGATAACTGGCTCAAGAAGATGTGGTATATATACACAATGGAACACTATTCAGTAATCAAAAAAGATAAACTCATGCCATTTGAAAGAACATGGACGGAGCTAGAAGGAGTTATGCTCAGTGAAATAAGTCAGAAGGAAAAAGAAAAATATTGGATGGTTTTGCTTATAGGAGGAATATATGGGAGCCAAAAAAGACATGGCGGGGGAGAATAATAACAAAACAAAAAACGGACAATTATAAACAGACATCCAGTGTGGGTGGTGAGGGGTGGGGACAGGGATCAGAGGTGGGCAGGGAGAGGGATCAGAGAGAGGGAGGAAGGAGCACCACCAGGGACTGTGGTGATGGCAGGAGTGAATTGGTGGAGGAAATTCTATGGGGACTACACCTGAGGGAAACAAACAAACATTGTTTAAAAATGAACAATGAGGGCCTCCCCGGTGGCACAGAGGTTGAGCACCACGCTGAGAAGCTGTCCAGCAGCATCTGCAGTGACTGTTAGACTCCCTGCATGCCAGGGAGAAACCCACCTGGCTCAGCAGACCTCTCCTGACTCACCCACTGCTCCCCTCAGCAGTATCTTTGGGTCTGCCTGTTCTGTTCCCTGCTCTGTCTCTGGTGAATCCTCTCACCCTCCCGTGCGTCTGACCTGTACTCCAGTTCTTGCATGCATAAATAAGTAAATCTTTTAAAAAATTGAACAATGATGTAAAATATAAATTAATTAATTAAAAAAGATGTGAAAACTAGCAAGCTGACCATAGAAATGAGGCATTCAGCAAGGGAGGGGGGGTGAAGGGGAGGAATATGGTGATGGTTCATAGGTGAGACAGTGGTGGAGAACTATGAGGACTACAACAATGTAAGAAAAAATTAATAAAAAAGTAATTAATTAATTTAATTTAAAATGAAAGAAATATAAGGAACTGTAGAAGCAGACCTCAGGTTCAGAGTTTGGGATTTCAGCATTTTTGGATCTTCAGTGATTCCAGGGTCAGTGATTTCTGTGCCCACCACGCAGATCTTCCAGAAGGCTGTTGTGGGCCTCTGAAGGATGTGAAGAGACCTCCAGCAGCCAAGCTCAGAGAGGAAAACCTCAGAGGCTTTGTAAGTAATTGAGCTACTGAAACTGTTCCTGTTTTTGCTGCTCTTACAGCCTGGCAGGGAAGGTGAAGGCCCAGAGCTGGGCGCTTCACTGAACTGCGAGTGTGGCCATTTGTCTGGTCATTCGGCTGCTGCAACTGCTGCTTTGAGCGTTGCTTGTCTGGTGCTGCGCTGGAGCATCTCGGCAGCTCTGGGAGCATTTCCTGTTGTGTCTTCTGTTGTCCTTGTGAGTTGGATCCTGGCCTATAATATGGCTGCCATGTGCTCCAGGCCCTCAGTGGCAGAAGAGACCATCTTGGGAGCTTTCGTGTTTAGTATTTTAAAACACTGGACACGGTTCAGGTGAGGTAAACAGTCATTTTTGGCCACAGTAACTCTTGTTTTTCCCTGGTTTGTTACATAAATCCCATTATTGTTGTTCTCTTAACCTGAATAGTCTTGCAGTTGTGCCACTGGTGAAGAATTCAGGCAGTGACCTGTAAATTATTGGGGCAGTGTCCTTGGTCAGTTTTAGTGCCCCTTAATGCCCTGTATCATTCAGAGTTGATTCCCTGGAGGAGGAGCCTTCATCCCTGAAACCAGCAACAGGAACAAGTGACAGGGACTCCAGGGTCAAGATCTCATCCCAGAGACTGAGGGCACCTGCCTCCCTTATGGGGCTCACCCTGATCCTGGGAACAAGCTGTTATATCCTGGGATGTGCTCCTGCCTGAACCAAAGAGTATGGTAATTGATAGAGAGGAGCCATCTCTGTCTGTCTGTAATTTAGGAAACAACTTGGACATAGAACGTGAGACTGGATAAGGGATAGCCTTTATGCACAATTCATTCCTACCGGAACCCAGAGAGATCCTGTGAAGAACTAAAGGCTCTGGGCCGCGTCCTCACCCCAGGGCCACACGGGGGCGCTGCGGCACTTTCCTAGTCTGCCCAGCCTGGGGAGAGGATGGGTGTGAGAGGGTGAGCTGGGGCTAAGCATCATTGCAGGGGTGGGGTGACAATGCCCTGTGAGCAGCCTTGGCACCAGGCTGGGGTGGGGGGAGGGAGGAGAGGAGAGGAAGTTCTGGAGCTCCCCTGTGTCTGAGGCGCCATCTTCTCTCCCCACAGCCTCTCTCTGCAGCCCCTTGATGACAACACCCTGGAGACTGAAAAGCAGATGCTTTACCCTTCCACTCCCTGTGCCTTTCCTGAGGGCTATTTTTAATTTTTTTTTAATTGAAGCAACACTGATTTACAGTACTGTGTGTGATTTAGGGGAATAATTTCACATCTCTTTGGATCTATGTCACCACACCACCCCCTCCACCACAGCACCCAGAGTCCTTCACCGATCCATTGTGCCCCCCACACTCTGCTGTCCCCCGTCCTCCCTCTCTAGTAGCCTCATTTCTGCAGTCAAGTGTCAGGGGTTTGTTTTGGGTATTTTTTTATTATTATTATTATTTTTCACTTAGCCTAATCCCCTCCAGGTCTATCCATGGTGTTGCAAATGGAAAGGTTTTATTTCTTTTTATAGCTGAGTAATAGTCCACAGAGTATATACACCATATCTTCTTGCCTGGCTCCTCTGCTGTTGGGCACTTAGGTGGTTCCCATAACTCAGCCACTGTTCAGGGTGCTGCAGGATGCGTGCATCTTTTCAGGTTGGTGTTTTTGCATCTTTGGCTAGATAGCAAAGAGTGGAATTGCTGGATAATATGCTCTATCATTTTTAATGTTTTGAGAAACCTGAACATTATTTTCCACAGGAGTGGATCAGTCTACATTCCTGAGGGCAATTCTTCAAAATAAACATTGTTGTTTTAGGGTAATTTATAATGTACAGAAAATCTGTAAAATTAGCAGAGTCCCTGTAACTCCCACACTCATGTCCCCTGTTGTTAACAATTTATATCACTTTCATGATGAACAGGGCCTGGGGGCCTGGGGACTCCTGGGGGGTCTCTTAGTTCTTTTGTAGTTAAACAGGAAAGCAAGAAGTTTGCTGACAGATAAGAAGGACAGGAAAGCTCTCTAAGTAGAAAGGGGTCCCCAGGGGGCTACTTCTGAGGAGCCTAAAAGCAGGAGTTTATAAGGGTATAGTGGGCAAGGAATGCGGGTGTTTGGCCACTGGTTGTCTCCACATTGTGTGTCTTGCTGATTGGTTGGGGTCCGTGGGTCTCCTAGGTCCCTGAGGTCCACTGACTTGTCCACGTTCCCTGGCCTGTCTTTCCAGAACCAGCTTTGGTCTGTGGCCTCAGCGTCCTGTCATTGTCAGTGTCCTGCACATTCCATTGTTAACTGGGTTGGTGGCCCCTGATGCCCATCCACGGTTTCCCATTTAGTTTGATAAATGAGTCTGAGACATCTGGGCTTGGGGGACCCCCCCCGGGTTCCTACTGATTGTTCAGTTTGAGAAATGGGCTTGAGGCTTGGGGTCCCCTTCTTGTACCCATTTCCTAACTTCTTCCTTCAGTGTTTGCACAGCTAATGAGGTGATACGGATATGTTATTACTAAACCCCACACTTATTTGGATGTCATTAGTTTGTTGTTGGTTTTTTTTTTCCTTTTTCTTTTCCAAGCTCTCATCCTGATACCGCATTAAGCAAATCCCAGTCGTGTCTCCTGAGCTCCTCTGGCTGAGTCAGTCTCTCAGACTCTTCTTGGTTTGGATGGTCTTGGCATTTGGGGAGCGCTGCTCAGGGGTTGTGTTGCATGTACTGCTTGACGGGGTGATGGGCTGGAAGAGGAGACCACACACAGGAACTTTCATTTTTAACAACACAGTAAGGGGGAATAAAAAGCACTTGATCCTCACTGATGAGGTCACAGTCCCCTCTGGCTGAAGTCTCCCACTTCTTCCCTGGGAAGTTCTTTCTTCTCTATGTCCCTTTCCACACTGCAGTCTTTGGAAGGCGTCACTATGTGGAGCCCACACTTGAGGGGTGCTCTGCTATGAATGTTCATGTGCAGGTTTTGTGCAAACATAACTTTTCAGATGAGTTGGGTAAACACCTAGGAGGGTGATCAGCAGGTTCTAGAGTAAGTCTGTACTTCACTTTATAAGAAGCTGTCAGATAGCTTCCACAGAGACTGTGCTATTTGGTATTCCTGCCAGCAGTGAGGGGGGTCCCTGTTGCTCCACATCCTGGTCACCCGTATGCAGGTGGTGCAGTTTCACTTTCCAAGATGTCAGTTTCCCACAATCAACTGGGGTCAAAGCTTTTATGTATAATGAGATACTGAAAGGGAGATCACATTCCCAGAACTTCTATGCACTATGTTGTTATAATTGTCCTATTTTATTTTTTTAAATATATATGTATTTAATTTTATTTATTTTTTTAAAGATTTATTTATTTTTGTACAGGAGCTGGGGTACAGACCAGAGGCATGGGAGGGTGAGAGGATTCACCAGAGACAGGAAAGGGAGCAGAACAGGCAGACAACCTTAGGGGAGCAGCCCGGCATGTCAGGAGAGGTCTGCTACACCATGTGGGAAACTCCCTGTCCGGCTGGGAATCAAGCCTGAGCTGCATTCAACCTGCTGCCCCCCCACCCCCCCTGCGGAGGCCCCATACTTAATTTAAAAGTCCAATACTTGTATGG